CCCCAAAACCCCAAAACCCCAAAACCCCAAAACCCCGTAAGATTTAAATAAATAGGGATTATGAGAAAACATGGCATTAAAATGAATAAATTAAGATGATGATGCTTCATATATAAATTTGATAATCAGTATGCAACTAAGTGATCTTTAATGCTCTTTAAACCATCTTCGAGACACTCAGCCATGACATCCAACTATAAGCAAAAGATTATTAATGATGTCGATTTGCATAAAACAATAATTCTTACCTTGCTCTTTATCAATCCCAAGTTGACATCTTTAGTGCAGATGAAACAGAGGATAAGATTATAGATTGGCTTCGCCACATATTGCACATTATCAGTAGTTATGAAGAGTGTCTGCAGAGTGTTATTCTTAAAAGCCTCAGTGCCGAATTCAATATACTCGTGGCATATATTTGCCAACACTGCAGCCTCAGAATGAACTTTGTCATCTTTTCCTGTCTTTGCTATTATACTTCCCTCTACATTACAAAATAGCCTAGATAAAAGGTAAAACTTTGATAAAAGTAATAAGAGCACTTACACAACTGAGGTGATACCAGGGCCCATGCCTTTTTCAAGCATTCTCTTTACAACTTTGGGTTTTAGCATTTTGAATTGTCTCATTCCACTATTATGGGTTTCACCTTCCATTTCTCAATTATACAATTAATTATAATTAAATTACAATGTTGATAATTATAAAAATCGACTATTTTTTAACTTTACTTTTGGATAGCTCTAAGCACAAGAATTAATTACGTGTAAACAGTTATAATATAATCTTTATTTTAGAAAGAAGATAAATAAGTCCATGGGTTGTCAAAATTCAAAAGAGCCAAAGCAAACATCGTCATCAACTGATGCAAGCAAAAAGAAGCTCCCTCATTGTGCTTAAAAGTTCCCCTACAAAGTGAATCTAGAAGAGGGTAAGACCTACTACTGGTGCAGCTGTGGCTTATCTAAGAATTAACCATTCTGTGATGGCTCACATAAAGGAACAGATTACGTACCAAAGGCTTTTTAATACGACAAGCCTACTGGAGAGAGCTATCTTTGCGGTTGCAAACACAATAAAAAAGAGAGTGGTCCCTATTGTGATGGCACCCATAAAAATCTCGAATGGTGAGGAATCACTACCTTCTCTAATATGTGAGATAAAGTCATTATAGGCGCTTCATTTTACCATTAACAACCTAAAATTTAAATAAAATCAACACATTATCTAAATTTGATTATCTTCATCTACAGGGTTATTGTAACTCATGGGGTTTTGGGGTTTTGGGGTTTTGGGGTTTTGGGGTTTTGGGG